GATAATTATGTATTGAATAAATTCCACCAAAGATAAAGAGATCACCACGGTAGTAGGTTCATACACCATCCTTGATATTGAATAAGTAATAAACATTTTTTTAAGGTTTGAATTGTAGCAATAAAAACAAATTGAAACTAGGCTTAAATAAATGGAAATAAAGAAAATGTCTAAGAAGATGCATGCATTAAACTTGCAGCAATCTTGTTCCTTAATGTTTCTAGTTCTTGTGCTCCAGGCCCTTGAGTAATATGATATTCTTCTTGTGCATCACCCTCCATCTCCATTGCATTTGGGTTGTCATTCACTTTGTCAAAATGAATATCACGTTGGGCATGCCTCCTTATATAGTTGTGAAGTGCCATAGTTGCAATTACTATCTTCACTTGCTTATCGAATGGATAGCTAGGCATGTCTTGTAAAATACTCCACTTTTTCTTCCATACACCAAAAGTGCGTTCAATGACACTCCTAAGTAATTACCTATAGGAAAACTTGGGCAAAACTATATACATCAAAAGCAATACACAAGTTGTACAAGATAAAAGGATTCAAACACACTCCCATATATTTTTCCCTTATTTTTTGGGTCTATAGTTTTGATATTTATTCACAAAAGATTAATGGAAGTCAAAGAAATAAATTTTGCAGCAAAACTAGTTTATCATAAAGGGAATTAAAAGAAAAATAGAGCTTGTTTGGAATTGTTATAACTTTTCAGTATGCCAAAATTCTCTCGCAATTCATAAAAGTGATTTCTTGTTTGATTATTCAGTGAAACGTGCAATACATGCAGCATGCTCTGTTTGCACACTAAGAAATCTGATAAGAAACAAATTAGGACTTGCCCAAAACACAATAGAAACATAGTTTACAAACACGCAGATAACACAAACCCAAAAACAGAGATTTCAGGCACGTAGATTTCCCAAGAAATATTATATTACAAGTATGCAGATTATATAAACATATAATATTTGTATGAAGAAGAAGACGAAGAAAAATAAAAACCCAGTAGAAAAATAAAGCCCATTGACAACCAATGCAGGCCTCGCAAACCAGTAGAAAAATAAAGCACGTAGAAAAATACAAATAAAATAAAAAAGCAAGAGTAACACGTATATAAAAAGTTTGAGAGATTGAAGAGATTGAAGAATCTACCATGTGAAAGAGATTGAGAAAGATTGAGAGAATGGTTGTCTCCTAACTTGGGAGGCTACGTGAAGATGAACTTTGGTGTTTGCAGATTTGAGAGAAATACGTGAGGATAGATTTCTAACCTAATAAGGGTATTTGTGGAATTGCAAAAATTTCATTAAAAGGAGCGCACTGCTTCAATTAAAAGCAGCTTTAAAAAGCAACCCCGAGGTTGCTTTTAAAAGCTGCTGTTAAAAGACCATTGCTTTTAAAATAAGCAGAATATTTTATTTTTACCAAACACCTTAAACTGCTTAACTTTAAAGTTAAGCAGGTTTTTGGGGAAAAAAAGCAATCCCAAACGGGGCCTGAGAGTGCCTTGGTATACTAGAAAAGCACAAGGCTTTTTCCTTGTTATTTACTCTTTCTGTCACGATCAAACAATTCCTTGGTATACTAGAAAAGCAAAGTCTCCACCACACAAAATCAATGACAGAACTAATTCTTTTCGTAAAGAATTTTCCAGATGTCGATGGCAAGGAAAGTACATGTATACTGTGGGAACTGAATTTTAACAAAACCCTAGGTCAAATATTTCCTTTCATTTGGAAGTATTTGATTTGGGAATTCTTGCCTTGAATTAGGGATTTGATCCTTCTCAAATCCCTAATTGATTTAAATCTCCTAAAATCAGAAAAAATAATTTCTTTATCAACAAGGATTATTTTCCTCCAAACCCTAGCCCTACGAGGCTCTATAAATAAGAGGCTATGCAAGGCATGAGGTAAGTCATTCTAAGCTCTCAAACTACTGCAGAAATTCCCCTCCTTGCTGCCATCTCCTTCTCTCTCTTACACAAGGTTCCAGCCACCACACACTGCTCCAGCTACTCAGTTCTCTTCCTGCGAAAGCTTCGTACCATTTTTAGCTATTGTTTCTTTACAAGTCAATCGAACTAACTTTGGCATAGGAGGGTCTTTGGCCAACACCCCCCAGGTGTGGTCCTTTTACTCCGATTGGTTTTGCAGGGAGAAAGAGTTCGAGGAAGGAGAAAAGGGAATCTATTGATCAAATATTCTAAGGGACGAAAATCACTCCCACATACCATCCATCTAAGATTAACGAATAAAAGAAGTGAAACAAATCATTACTAGGACTATCACTCCGATAATCCAGTCTGTAATGACCTGGTCCTAAATAAATTGGTAATTATTGATTTATTCAGATAAAAGACCATTTCGCCCTTAGAATATTTTATTAGGTTTAAAGTTGACTTTTTGACAGGGAAGGAATTTCAGAATTTTGACTATACCGTTGCGTAGAGCATGGTGAGATGAGTCAATAGACATGTAGTTGGCTCGAATCGGAGTTGTAACGAAGAAGATGCGATCAAAATACCCTTAGTGGCATAACCGTAATTTTGGCAAAAGGGTTTGTTAAAAATCTGATTCTCTCTCTCTCTCTCTCCCTTTCTCTCTTCGAAACTCCAGCCACCGGCCACAGCTGCAGACGGGATCGGTGCCAAAAGGATTGGCTCAGCCACGGCGTCATGACCCGGCCCTTCCCCGATATCGGCCGCCGCTCCAGCCACCAGAAAATGTGGTTTTTAGGCCAGTTTTTGCTCGAAACTTCGTTGGCTTTGGTCTCTCTCCTCCGACCGCCATTTTTGTCGATCAAGGTATGGAAATTTATCCTTCCTTCATAATCTAGCTGATGGTTGGATAGGATTGCATCAATTTTGAGCATATATTATGTGATTTTCGAATTGGATTTCAGCCACTTTTGGGATCGCGATTCCGACCACTTCGGGTTACTTTTTGGTGTAGGTCCAAGAACAAAAGTGGTTACAAATAGGGTGTTACAGCTAAAGAAGGAGTTGTGAGTCGCGATTTGGAGTTTTTCGGGCTAAAGGTTATCACTTTGGACACCCACGTGCTGCCTGCGCATGGGAACTGTAGAAAAGGGGCATTGTGTCTCGAGGTAATCTCCTGATCCTCATGAGCTCGTAGGTGTACTCGGATGTCAATTTGGATACTGTTTGAGTATCGAACGAATTTTGCCTATTGTGCATTATTCGGGTTCAATAGGTTTTAACCGTTGGATCGTCTTGAATTTAATATATGATAATCTAGACATCCCTAGGATCATGTAGGATTCGACGGATTGTAAAACGGAGTCCTGGATACTCCGAAAATGTCACGACCCGACTCCCCTAGCACGATATTGTCCGCTTTGGGCCCCCCTCTCTGCCCTCACGGTTTTGTTTCTGGAAGCTCACGAGCAACTTCTCAGTGGGTAACCCCATCATGGGATTGCTCTAGCCCCCAACTCGCTTAACTTCGGAGTTCCTAAGAATCCGAAGCCAGTGAGCTCCCAAAAGGCCTCGTTCTAGGAAGAGAAGTGCCCACACATTTAAGCACTTCACCTTTCCCTCCCCGAGCGATGTGGGATTGCTCACCATTCTTGTTTCCCCAAGACACGGGTCTTACAATCCACCCCCCTTGGGGCCCAGCGTCCTCGCTGGCACACTTCCGGTCGGGGTCAGGCTCTGATATCATTTGTCACGACCCAACTCCCCTAACACGATATTGTCCGCTTTGGGCCCCCCTCTCTGCCATCATGGTTTTGTTTCTGGGAGCTCACGAGCAACTTCCTATCATGGGATTGCTCTAGCCCCCAACTCGCTTAACTTCGGAGTTCCTAAGAATTCGAAGCCAGTGAGCTCCCAAAAGGTCTCGTGCTAGGAAGAGAAGTGCCCACACATTTAAGCACTTCACCTTTCCCTCCCCGAGCGATGTGGGATTGCTCACCGTTCTTGTTTCCCCAAGACACGGGTCTTACAGGAAATGCCAACCCTAGGGCTAGGTTTATAGTAACCTTCCGATTGTGCGATCGTGAGTGATCCAACCGTTCGATCCAGACTAAACTTGCAGGATGTGTATCCTAAACCTTGTAAAGCCTGTAGCAACCTTCGGGTCGGAATTTAGAGGTCGTGGGCCCTAGAGGCCCGTTTGACCAAGGT